AAATAATTTTACTAGAATGTGACTTTTGGTCCCTATTTTTAGTATGATGGTTCTGTTTGATATATAATTATAATATACAAATATAAACTATTATAAGTGTTGTTTTGATAAAAAACAAAAAATAATACTAATAATATTTTTTAAATTTCTATWAGCTAATTATTGAGATATTCTATAGAACATGCAAACGTTTTAAAAAGTACCTACAATTATAAATAACTTCTTAGGCTCAAATAAGTATTATTATAAGCTCTAAAAGATTTTACTACTTAAATTTTTCAGAAAAAAACTACTAATTGTAATATTATACTTTAACTACCTGCAATTATTTAATAAAATCTACATTATTTGATATAATTTATATATACTAAGTTATTACCAACCTATTCATAATAACGTATTTATATACAATTTGATTTTGTATATAGTATGTTACGTTATATGATATACATATCATTTAGTGTCTACAAATATACCTACTTGTATATTTATATGCCATTCACTAGAAATTTCTAACACAACATAGGTAATCAAATAGCATGTTTATTGTGCTTTGTTGTCTAAACCATAGTTCCCCAAACTTTTCACGGTATGACCCAATTTGAAAATGTTTAAATGTTGGCAACTCRCCAAAATGAAATTTTTTTGTTTATAAACATATAATTTATCATTTATATTATGATTAATAATAATATTGTGAAAAGTATAATTTATTTAATTTAAAAAAAAAATGATTGCTTACTATTTATTAACTTAATAATGAATGATATACTTTTTTATAGAGAATTTTCAATTTACAATTTATTGTTGAATATTAATTCTATTTCTCATAATAGGTACACACGAGTACCTAATATTCTTGGACAAATTAACGGAAATAAACGAAAGTGCCTACTCGTATATCAAAATGGTAAAATATATTGAAACACATTTTTTTCTCATAATATTATCTAATATACTAATAAAATTTATTTATAAACATGATAACATGAATTTTTTACGTGAGCAGCTTGGGAACCTCTGGTTTAAACTAATTTAATAAATTGTAAGTGAACTAATGTATAAAAATTTAAATAATTCTACGTTTTGATCATCGACATTCAAATGAACTTTTTACTATAGATTTACCTAGTATTAATGAAATAGAAACTATCAAACCTGATACCGTTGATTACAGCATCTTGTACAGCATGAGCTTAAGAAGTTCACCCTGCTTAATGCCGAATGGCTAGGGCTCAGTAGGGGAGACGGTGAGCATGGCCTTTTTGATTGACCATTATATGGCACTTCGAGCTCCACAAACTCTCTATCCTAACATAAAAAAAAAATTAATTCTAAAAATAATTTCTTTAGTGAAAAAAGTCGATGGCTAAAAAAATAGATACAATAGAAGAATGATAATAGAAAAATATTGAGTATGAATATTGCAAGTATAGTTAAACACCTAATTATAAAATATAGAATTAATTTAAATAGTTTTATTTTGTTAAAATTAGTTACTAAAGAATTGTATTGTATACATAAGTTAAGCTCGTTATATATTTAATGTTGTTGCGTTGTTTTATAGATAATATTATAGATGATAAGTTTGGAAAAAATATTATTTTCTTCATTAGACGCAGTGATTAGAAATTAAAATGAAATCTAATGGTAAATTTATACTTATATGCATCTATAGAAAAGCTTATTGTGTTAATTTAATATGAATTTCAGGTGTTAAAAAGCATTTTCAATATCATAAGAATAATAAAATAAATCAATAAATAAATGTTGTTAATTAGAATATTCAAAATTGCTGTAGAAAATCTGTTCTGTGACCATGATTATCAATTATTATTCCTCAGTATAGTATGTAGGTATAATCATTGATAAACAATTATAAAACAGTTATGCAGGTAAAGTGTAGGTACAGTTATACGCAATTTATAAGTATATATTGGTAGGTACAGGATTATAATGGGAAACACATGGTTTTCAATCGGCTATTACTTTGGTACTGGTTCTCGGAATGGGAAGTGAATCATTGTTTATTGTCGATGCTTTTTAGATAAAAAACTATTCATTTATTATTTTATCTAGGTAATTATTATGGAATTTATCTACTGGTTTTGGATAAAAWTTTTTTATTTATAAGTAGATAAGTAGGTACGTTTAATTTAAATCACAGGTAAAAGCTATTAAATATTTATTTCTCGTGAATAATATTAGGTTTTTTTTATTTACATTTTTATTCGATTAGTACATGTATATTAGACTTTCTACTATAATTTTCTAAATATTTAGTTGATAATTTTGACTTATATTTTTTCTATATATTTTTATGACGTCTTATTGAAATATAATATTTAAATATAGTAGGTAGGTAAACWATTAATTTTCTATACTATACAATATAGACAGACAAGGAAGATTATCTTTATATTATCTAGATACAAATGAAATCGATTAATTTGTATTTGTATAATTGTATCTAGACTAATAGATACTATAGATATAGATATAAATAAAATTATCTGTTGGTACCTAACCTCCTATAGGCATATTAGGTGTCTTAACTCTTAATGAAGTTTTAGTTTTCTTTTTCAACTTTGGTGTAGTTTTATTCGATTGTCAATATCAAATTGCGTGCGTTTGCTGTGAGGCGTTATCTCACTGGTGAGTGGTGGGTGGTCCTTTACCATGATTGGTTGATGTGTGGTTTTTTTATATGAGTATCTAAAATTGACGTGTGTGGAGTGTAAACAATTTTGAAGAAAATGATTAAAAAACAACGAAGTTAATCAAATCCTACTGCAGATTAATGTAGTTCACGACTTTRTAAAGAGCGCTCGTCCACGACAAATATAAATTTCAGAGAATAACGTCAACATTTCTACTATGTGATTTTCCAAATAATATGATAAACACAATTTTTTTTAATTTGTCAGGTGATAAGATAAGTTTCATTTTGGTAGAATGAAAAATGAAAATTTAAAACTAAATATAATTTTTATTTTATTGTTATTTAAAAACCATGCGTTTCCTACGATCGATAGTATAGTGCATATACTATATAAGTATACGTTTTAATATTTATGTAGTTGTTAATAAAATTTTGAATTACATGAATTCTCAGTATTATAATATCTAACAATAATTGTAAAAAGGGTGTTCAAATTAACATATCAAATTTCACGTAGCGCCTAACCCGATATAGTATACGATAGAAATTCGTAGGAAGTGCATTTAATTTCTTATAAATAGAAGAAATAAATAAATAAAAGTTCTATAGTTAAATAGATTTAAGGACATTAGGCATAGTTTTTAAGTTACACTAAATGGAGAGAAGGGAGGGGTAACAAGTAATTAAAGTTTACTTAACAATTTGAATAATTTATTATTGTTGGTACCTAAATCTTTTAGAAATAACGTGAAAACCAAAGAATTTGTAATTGTTAAATTGTTAATAAGTGCTTAATGCTTATAGCTAAAACCACGTGACTTCACACAATCAGGAACTAGAGACTTAACATAATTTAATGTCGGAAAGTATTCAACCAACAATCTAAGTATATTATTTATACGTTTTAAAAGTAAAGACAATATAGAAAAAAATATTTGTTAAAAGTKAACAATTATTTTGATTACGTAGCATATTTAACAACAATAACTTGATGAACCGAATTAAGATCACACAATATCGTAGCTCTTTTTTTATAAAATTATAAAAGACGTTACTTGCGTTATCTGCAGCGACTTGTTCCTTAATATATGTTGAGTGCACTTAATCATCTTTTAAGATTTTAATTATAAATATTAATACCTTTATTTTCATCCTGATTAAGATAAAGACGTCTGATTTTAAATTTATTAACATAAGATGAAAGAAAATTAACTTTATCTAGATATTTAATATCACTGTTAATGTATTTGCCATAATTGTGAGCTAAGAAATATTAAACATCTACCCAGCTTACAAGATTATTAAACCATCAGTTTATCCCATGAACTGTGCAAAAAACTGATGTTAATAAATTCACTAAATATAACAACTTGAATGTAAAACAAAAATAAAAACCATTCTAAATGTAAATTTTCAATGACACACAAATATTAATAAAAGAATTAATTGACCKGATTTGTGATTTATATTCATATCTTCATTTTACATATATAATTACGTTGCAAACGATCAATAAATACATTTTTCTTCATTGGTTTTTATTGTTTGTCCTAATTAATTTTGATAAAACCGTTTTTTTTGTTATTAAAAATTGCATTATATAGACCTATAACAAATGTAGCAGCAAGTCAACTACTACTTTCAATAAACCTTACAATCGCGTGAATATTTATTTTTTATAAGAATGATGAATAGATATTGTATACTGTATAAATGTTTTTTTTTAGGATAGAATAATTTAAATAAATTTAAAGTGTTTTATAATATATGAAATTTCAAAAATATGAATTACTATAATAATTTAAGTTCATTATAATCCATAGTTGAAATTCCCATAGAATGATCTGTTTAAATACTAGGGGAGGGGGGGGGKAAAWKRAAMCAGTGAAGTCGTAAATCTTCAATCCAAAAGTGTATAGGTACGCTGTTGTCATAAACACACACACATAACAATAAAATCAATCTTTTAACGTCGATAACTTAGATAACAATTTTGATTGAATACAATCTTGGTTTTTTTTTTTATTAATTTCTAATGATGTTTTCATAATATTATAAGCACATGGATTATACAATAAGCGAGTTAATAACCTTAATTATTCTTGTTTTAAGTAAAACTATATTCAATATATTTAAGCTGTCAAAGTAAAACAGTGCCTGCAAAGTATAGTTTTCAGAGTCATTATAATATGAACAGTATGCATAATAAATTGTTTCACTGACACATCAAGCTTGAAGACCATGGGTTGAAAGTTAGATTATTTCACAAATATTAAAAAACAGAAAAACACAGATGGCAAGCTACTAAATTAGGCAGTAAAATTATATCCCAAGCGGATTATAGCAAGTCGAAAATAAATTCTAATATGCTATCATGGGGTAAAACTAGTTTTCTAAAATATAATAATGCTCCTTTTAAAATATAAATATAAGAATATCCGGATTACTTACATATTATTTGGCTATGAAGTAAAATGTTGCATATCTATGTCGGGACTATAAACTTTAAATACCTAGGTAATTAGAACATTTCATTGTAATAACTTATAAAATTAAAAGCTCAAGCAATATTTTCAATATTTTATGGCTAAAATTTCTGATTTTTAAACACAAAATTATTTTTTCTTAATTGTATAAATAAATTGTTTTTAATACTAAATTTGAAATTAAGATAAAAAAGAATCTTTTTTTGTTTTGAAATATACTGGATTATTATATAATAATTAATAAGTAATAACTAATAACTAAGTATAGTATGGTGTAGCCGAATAATCCGGGATCTAAGACAAATAATATTTCTGGCGTCAATTTTTCTTCCGTTTTTTTTTTTTTTTAAATTTAAAAGGCGACAGACAAGTTAAATGCAACAGCATTAATAATTCTTAGATTAAAAATTGTCCTATTATTCTTAATATTGAAATAAACAAAACAAAGATGTGGAATTAAAGTACTGTCATAAGGCATGGTCGCAAGTCCATGATATATATAATATAATATGTATTTATGATTGATACATATCATTAAAAACAAACTATTTTTTGATATTTATATTTTCTTGATTCAATAAAAAAAAAGTTTGTATTTAAAAAAAAAAATAATAATTATAAAAACTGCCAAGTATTAATAAATAAATAAATATAACATAATATTAAGAGTTTAGATTCAAAGGGGAATAAGGATGAAGGAAGAGGTTAGCTTTTGCGGGTATTTGAAACAATAAAAGTCTTTTCAAGTTTCATGTATACTCCGTAAATTTGAAATTGACAATTGGAAACAGATGGTACTTACATCAAAATGTTGCAAAATATCAGAACYTTTATAATATATTAAGGAAATATTCAAAAGGCTGCGATATTTTCTTTAATATATATTAATATAGAAAAAGAAAGGGACAAAGGTTTACTAGATTAATATGCAAAATCGTAAGTTTTTGTTTTTGTATTAAAAAAAAATATTTAATTTCTACACTGTTTTTTCAATTGTTATATCTTACTAAGAAAATACTGAGAATTCAAAAAATATATTCTTTAACACCTACATAATATTTTATATTGTATTTTAAATAAAATCTATTATATTCACTATTATCAGATATTTAGGTAAAACTTAAAAATACGTTCTTTTGAATTTCTGAAATTGTAAATCAATATAATACTACAACATAAAAAATGTTTAAAAATTGTATGACTTTTAAATTTGTACCTTTACGTTATATTTAACACACACACACACACACACACATATATAATATATTTATCAAGATATTTTTAAATTCAAGCTGTAGATACATTTACTTAGTTTTATAATTTAATTTAAAGTGTTTTATTACTTATATATATATGTATACTTACAATAATCAAAGTCGATTGAAACGAGTATACAAGACATCTGTATCTTTCTTTATGTGCCGTGTTTTTATTTTTTTTTTAACGCATTATTGTTATTTTTAGTTAGTAGGTAGTCGTATATACATAATTAGGACTGTTTAATGATATTATTTATTTAGTTTTCTTAGTGCATGGTTGAAGTTTAACAAAGTGTAAATAATTTATAGTTTATATTTTTATAAATGATCTTTAGCCAAATATTATTATTTATGGTAGGTATAAGGCTTATAACAGATGTTAAAACCATAGGTATGGGTACTTAATTCAACAAAAACAAACTAATAGTCATGGTGATGATGTTAATCATTAATAACAGTTGTTATTCCACTATATAATTCACACATACCTACAGCTATAACCTTTAGAATCCTAAATAAACATTGCTATAAAATAGCTGGAAGATGGCTCAACAACACGTATATATTCAAATAAAAAGTAGAATAAAAATAGATTTTACTTCGCATTTTATACAATTATTGTCAGACTGGATAATCACAAATAAGCCGTTTATGACATTGCAAATTTTTTTTTATAGTAAACACTAGTATAAATTAGATAGATTGAATTTTTGATTTATTTAAAAACAATACTATTTTATTACGTTGCTTACTAAATTAAATGTATATATGGATAATGTATTATAATGTATTATAAAGTATTGTTATTTATTTTGGGTGGTGTACAAAATATGCAGTTTCGTGAGGTTAGGTTAGGTAGGTATATTTTTGTTCTGAAAATATCTTCAGGGAAATCATATAATTTGTACAGTAGAATGAGCATCTGAAATTATGAAATGAATCGTCATTGGTAATTTGAACTTTTCATGATCAAAATTTATGTCGAAGGAACGAGAGTGTCAGATAACAAAAATGTGTACTGAATCATTAATGAAATTGTTTATTTTTACTGCTTGAACCGATATTGAGAAAATGAGAACTTTTCGTAAATTAAACGAGGCATAGATTAATGTCATATAATTTATCGATATATCATTAATGACGTATTCGTTTATGCGTTTTAGTTAAAATTAATTTAATTATATATATTTGATTTTACATATAGTGCAGCATTCATGAATATTAAGTCCTGAAAGGTATTATGAACCTACCATAATCCTTTATAAACCTAACATAATAATACGATTATTTCAGGATGCAGTAATACCTAGTTAATTTCTATTAAATAATTAATTCTTAACATGTTTGTACATATTACGACTAATAATCTGGATTCTAGAGTATAAAAATGTAAAACAATGAGTTATATTTTTACGAAATTTTAAGTTATTTAGTACATTAATTAAATAATATGTACTACAGTAGTTACAAAGATATAAAAATATAGAAGGTATGTAGTACATACTATGTACCTACTAGAGATATATTTGAAGAACGATTTTATCAAAAAAATCAAGATTAAAACGCTAATTTGACTTCTTTCGATTTTTAGATATTTAATGGATTAAATACTATATTTCTTATGCGTTTTTATTTATATATAATTTCATATTTATCTATATAAACATTTTCAACAATTAAGCATTGATATCTCAAAATGTTATTTACCTAAAGTTATTTCTTCTTTGTTTTAAAACAACTTAGGTAATATTAAAGTTTCAAAATAAACTTTGTGGATAAAAACCTTTGTTGTTCCGTATTATGTTTCATCAAAGACAACTATGAACACAGTAAATATAGTTGTGGCTTTATACTCAATGACAATCCATACGACCTATACAACTTAGAACAATATGCTTTAGAGGGAAATGTAATTATTATCTTTTAATTTACTTGTTTTTCTTTAATATTTATAAGCCTCGAGATTAATTTTCGTTTGGTAATTATTTTTTAAAATGTTTCATCATTTTTACATGCCAATATGATACTTAAATGCATTTATGTAACATAGAAGTCAAAAATAAAGATAAATACCTACATTTTTAGATAAAATTAACTTTAAAAATTGTACTTTTCGTCACTGAATGTCTGAACGACAATCACTAAATATCTGAAGTTGTCTAATAAGTGATAACAATCAAACATTTTTTGATCAACTTWACGTAAAATTTAAATTTGAAATTTTGGCACAAAATTATATTTACAAATATTTTTAGTCAAACAACTATTGTAACACAATTATTTTCATAAATGAAGTATTTTTATATTAATTAAAATTCAAGATCTAAAACCAATTGAAAAACATAAAATATATGTATAATCGGTTGGTAGTCATAAATAATATTTTATTTTAAATTATTTTAATACTCAAATGAAAATAATATGTATTACCTATAGTTTTTTTTAACAATCTCTTACTATTGGTCTTATGTATCTAAAAAAATCAATTAAAATGTATTGACCAATAGATTTATCTTTTAAAAAAAATAATCCATTTTATGGTATTGACGTAAGACAAACAAACTCATCTGTGTATAGGAAAAATGTAAAAAGAATGAATGAGTGGAGACGATGAGTAAAGGAAAAAATAAACACTATTAAATTTACTTACAGTCGTTTTTTCCAAACATCGAAGCAAATGATGATGCTGCAGTTCAAATATGTCTTCTTCTCTGTAATTTTCATCAAGCTCTAGCCCAGATTCTTGAGCCGCCATCCTGGCTTCAGCCGCTTTTTTTTTGCTTACAAATGCGGCACCCGAAGAGGCCTTTGCTATCCTTATCCTAGCTAGTCGTGCTTTCTGTGAAATATCAAATTAATTTGATTAGTATCACGAAACAAATACAGATAAATAATATTTTTTAAGAGTCTAGAACACATGTTTTTTACATTATTATAATATATTAGTACTTATAACATTTACAGTATTTTTTTCTAAGTTAGGTACCTCTTATTAGTGACTAAAGCTATGMACTTACCYATGTATTAATATATACTGTAGAATTTAGACGATAAATTAAAAGTACATTAATTTCGTATTTGTCTTAATAATRTATTCATCATCTTATATGTATTCCTAATTAATGCGTTTAGTGTTGTATTATAAACTCTACATTTATAATTCAATGTGACTGATTAAATTGCGTTTAACTATTTATAAATTATTAAAAATTATCCGATAAGTATTAAATGGTTATTAACAGAGCTCTGAWTTTTTTTTTTAATTTTTGCTAATTGTTATAGGTCACAGATAAAAATAGCAGAGTGACCTATACATTTATTTTATGCATCAAGGACTCCAAATATGAATTTTTGTAGATTAGTATGTTTTTTTAAATTGTGGATAGAATACATTTTCTTTTTTTATATTTTCCATGTTTTTAGAGCATCTTATAGCGCTTATTTTAAGATTTTTAAGGTCATATTAAAGCGCATATTTCAGTAATTTTTAATGCCATAAAATCCGAGTCCTGGTTGTTAATTTAGGATACCTATACATTAATACATTATACAACTGTTTGTCTGTGTTTATACTGCCTGAGTTCAGACATTATTTTTTTAGATAAAACTAAATCATCAGTAAATAACGGTTCGAATTGAAAATTAAAAAAAAAACCAAAGCATTTCTATACAAAGAATAATTTTAAATTTTGAACGAGGGAGAAAAATAGCAATTGGTTTTATGTTATTTTTTTATGTAGTAGTTTTGTCGTAAGTAAAAATGCGTTAAATATTGAATGCGTCATACCATCATATCATTCGATTTAAATTATGTATTTACACTGTRTATAGACATTTCCATTATAAGTTTTTTCAAATCACTCGAAAAACCTCGGTATTTATTATAGTGAATCTATTTATTCTCAAATTTAATAAGGATCCACGCACAATTACTTTTTGGGATTCAAATAAAAAATAGCTTATAACTTATAAGTAAATATGTTTTCTTCGAAAATGTAATAATATGTAATATAATGAACACTTGAACTAACATCTTTCCCCACTCACTTATTATTTTTAATAATCATTGTCAAATGCAGAATATATATATATATATATTCAGCTACATTTTGTTATATAAACGGTATATATATATATATACTTGTACTGTCTTTGTACTTTTCAAAGTTTATAATTGACCGTATTTATAATATCTGGGTAGAAAAAAATCAATATGTGCTCATATTAACAAGTTGTTTAATATAAATTTGAATTTATATTTGTCTAGACTTCTAGAGAATATTTCGATCTTTTTAAATTATATAGAATCAATGACGTATTTAGAGTTTTGACGCCACACGAAAACTTATTGCACTTTCTGTCTCTATTATCTCCACCATCCCTTTATAAAATGAACCGCTGACAATTATTTAGATCGAAAATTGTTGAACAAAAAGTTCGCAAGAACTTACAAACACTCAACATTTCATACACATACTTCTGAAATTTTTAGATTTCTTTGTCATAAAATAATGTTCCAATTTAGGAAGTTATGGAAATAAAAAGTGAATTTTTTGAATTGTTGTCTATGACTAATTTTTTAGAAGCCAGGTAGGTACTCAAATCTGTTTAATTTTTCTTTAATTTTAATATATATATACTATTGTCCGTATAAAAGATTATATCCATTTATGTCCAATACTACAATAAATACAACAACATTTCGCTATAAACTACGAACCTCAACAAAACTAATTGTATGAATGTATAATATTGTATAATATTAAATTATTTTCTGACGATTATTTTTAGGGTGCCAAAAAAAATTAAAAAATATTCGGAAATAATTTATAAGAAAGTATTAGGTAATACACTAACTTTATTAATATTAATTAATAGTTAAAAGATTGCTTAATTAAAAAATATTTTATGGTTAAAAATTAAAATACAGATACAATAAACGATAGAATGAAAAGGAACGATCCAGTTGCGCCTAAAATGAAATATTTTTTTCTTTTAAGATTAAGGTGYTTGCTTTTTAGTTGTATCTATTATATCTATAGATGTTTTTTTTTCAAATGTTTTATTCAATCTGTTACAAATCTATAGATGTGAAAGTTTTTTTGTTCAACCTAATACAATACGAGTTGGATTATCAAACATAAACTGTGTATAATTAAACAATTTAAAAAAAATCTTATTTATTGTAAATTGTAGATTGCTAAGTAAATAGTTAAATAGTGATCAAACCATTTTTTATTAAAAAAAAAGAAGAGAAAAGTAGTTTGTCGTTTTGAAGTAGGGAGAGTTTGTGTTGAGTTTTCAAGTGTACAATGTTGTGGAAATGTATAGTACCTAAGTACTAATTTTTATTGTGCTAAATCTGAATTTAATGATAAAATTATAATATGATAAATGATTTAGAGAAAAGATTCTATATCGTCTGTATATCGTATATTACTAAATATATTTCATAATATTATTGTTATTAAAATAATCTATTTTACTATTAGTAATATAGGATGTTGAATTAAGGTTTGCCAAAATCAATGTATTTTAAAGTGTCATTAAGTCTATAAAATAGTGTAATATACTTAAAAAGTTTTAAGTATACCTAAAAATAATGTTTTCAAAATATATCGAAAATAACTAAAATCGTTGTCTTCGTTTCGGTTATTTTTGTTTAAAATAATATTTAACTACGTCAAAATCAATTTCTTTAATTAGGCATCGGGCAGTAGATTAGTGGAAAAGTATTACGATTAAGACATATAGCAACTAAAATATTAAATATAGTTTTAAAATTTAATAGAATCGTGGGAAATGGGAAAAATCGGCACCGACACCCTTAATAACTGATTTTCAGTCAATATCCTATAACAATATCCGGGCCCTTATGAAACGTCATAATTATCAACCTACTAGGTACATTCATTAATTTGCGTGATTGATACAAATAAGTTTTCAATATCGTTAATTGTTTATCACCCTAAAATATAATTATGTGGTATTTCACATGTAATCAAGAATTTGTGTTAAATTAATTTAAGATCACTAGTATGGTGTCCAATTAAGCGTTAAATTTTGAATTAATGACATGTAATTTGCTGGAAAATTGACATGTTTGTTGTAGTGACCAATGGTTGGTAGCAAATCTGTTTGGTCTGTTTAGTAGATTGCTAAAAAATATTGAAAATCAAACAAATACTGAATTACCTATATAGAATATCGTTTACGACACCTACTATATATTACATAATAACCTATTTATCTATTTAWTTAATTAATAAAAAAAATTTTAAAAATGTAAAATGACTAAGTGGCAATGAATTATGTTCATAAATTTAAATATAGATAATTTCATTTTCGAGTGTTAGAGCAGTAGCGCCGTATTAACTATATCACAATTTATTGAAATAAAATAATTAGGTATTTATTATCTGCGACAATATAAAAAATATTATAATACTTTATCAACTGTGATAACAAAAATAAAAATTAATAAATCTTAATTTTACATAAAAATGCGGTATGATATTCGTTCATGTGTCTTTATTGAAGAATAATTACGACGGACGATAATAATTGAAGTTTGTGGACAGTGATGGTTTCGTCCCTAAATCTCTACTAAAATTAATGTTCAGATTAATGGTAACCCCCTCTTACCTCTAAATACGTCTCTGGTTAGAATTCAATAAGTATGGAAAGAACCTATATCAGAATAATATCTATAAACCACTACATTATTGTGCGCTAATTACATACAAACACATCAGTTTTACTTTTTATCATTAACTCCATATACGATATACTTATATTTTTATGTTTAAGAAAACCATTTCAATTTTAAAGAATTTTAAAGTATATGTAGCTTATAAGTTATAAGCCTTTATAACTTTTAACCAAAATGTTAAGTCATATCCACTTTAAACTTTTATTTCATTTGGATGCACCTAATATTCCATAAACTTTTAAAAAGATTTCTTAATACAATTTTGTATTACATCATGAATTATTCATAAAATTATAGCTTATAACAGTCAATGAATAGTAATGATTATATTTCATATTTATTTAGATTTTAATTTATATAAGAAAAATAAAACTTACTCTTTGAGCTTTTCTTTTATCTGCTCGTTGATTTTGATGGTAAATGCGACTGAAATTAGAGACAATTACTGGTACAGGCAGTGCAATAACAAGCACTCCGCTTAGTGAACACACTCCACCGACAATTTTCCCAGCTATTGTTTCTGGTACCATGTCACCATATCTGTATAAATAAATATATACATTTTAGTGTTTAAAATGTAGTGAGTGTTTAATATAAATGCATTATCAATAATTATTTATAATGATTCTTCATAAATTATTTGATATTTAAACAACAATACCTAAAAGTAAGTGAAATATAAATAATAACTGTGTAAATATATCTAATTTCCTTTGAAAAAAATCAACTCAATTTACTCAATAGTACCTATAGGTAGTATGTCATAACTATAATTAAAAATTACTTAATAATCAAGTATATTGAAATCATGGGCTTCATGTTAATAGTTATAAATTATAAAGTAGTCACATTTAAAATTAATTATAATTTCAACACCCTAATTAATGTATTAAGGTAATTATGTACCTACCTAATAGTATTAAAGGATAAAATGTTCTGATACAAGCTCATGAAAAAATAAGTTCTTAGAAAAGCTTAAAATATTTTATAATTATTTATTTTAAGTTTAAAATTAAGATGTATCTTAAATATTTTTCAAAACATTTCAAATAATAAAAAAAAAAAAAAAAAATGTATTAATAAAACATTAGGTTTTTATTTTTCAATCTATTTGTATTTAATTTTGAATGTGCAATATTATGTTAGTAGTGTCCACTGTCCATACATTATGTTAGATACAATATGAATACATTGTACATGAGGTTTAATTATTAATAAGTATTTATATATTTATTTTAAATTTTTTCAATATTACTGATCATATAAGTATAGTTTGTTTTAACGATTTTTATGTTGAAAACTCTAACGCACCCTTTTTATTGTAATTTAATTTTAGTTAACTATTTATTTGAACAGATAAAATAGAGAGAAGATTTATGGATTTAGTTACATAATTCTTCAGTATTTCAAGTCTTTAAAATAATCTGTGCGAGTGAATCTTTTGTAAGAACGTGTTTTAAAGTTTCACTAGATTATCGATTTGATAATAGCTTATTATTTTTTTTAAGTAAATTTAAAAAAATTCGATCTTCTTAAAACTTTATACAACGTATATTGTAGATTATCTTTAGGTGCTTGTATTCATTTATATTTTTATCCATTAAAAGTATTCTTTTTCATTGCATAGTTATTTTGTAATAAATATATATATATATATATAAAGTTAGAAATTGGACTAACAAATTGAATATTTATAAAATCTTGAACGGGAAATTATAAATCAAAGCATTAAATTATTTATAAGTTTGTATTGTATCATGATATAGAACAAATATTTTTTTCAATATAGATGTACGTTATTAATTTTTCGATCATCTTTTATGTCATATAATATATACATAAATTAATTTTGTGTCACATTCCTTCATAAAGCCATATGTCGCATGTTTAATATTTAATCTCATAGTTATAATTTCAAAAAATTGCCAATATTCTTTATGGTACACCATTTGATTTATATATATATATATATATATATATCGTATGACAAGTTAATGCAGTTGTAAATAATTGTCAATGACATAGTAATTTTTCGGGGTAATGCATCATTTATATCATTACAATAGGTCATTGGTAAAGTTAATTGGAATATCATTGGTTTCTCAGCTTAATATAGATTATCAAGATTCGTAAATGTATAATATGATGTTTTGGTTGTGGACTGCATTTCAAATAAATACTCACTCACGTTTACTCTTTAGCGAACTGATTACTTTGTTTGGCTAAAATCTGACACTGATATATTAATAATTCAGTACCAGATACCACCTAAAGAATAGACAACGTTGTATGATTACGACTGCGTAACATATATTAACAGTTACAATTATGTTAACATTAATCAAACAACATTTTGAACATAAATGACACAACGATGTCATATAAATTAAATGTGAACTATTTTTTTTATATTAATTTGTTGAAGTTAATTATATTTGTTTTATAACCATATTATACGGATATATAATAATACGGTTATAAAAATATAAAGTAGTTATATTATTGATTCAACAGTATCAATATTTATAGTATTCAATATTTGAGCAATTAAAAAAAAATTGATTTTAAATAATTTAATTAAAAGATAAAAGGACTAAACAGCACTGGCCTTTCCGTTGATACTGTTGAACAATTTTCATATTTCACTAACTTCGGTACCTTTTATGATTTGTTTTAAAGCGATGATAAAAGTTATGATTAATTTTTCAATTATTGCGTTAAAAAAAAAAAAATAATAATATACACTAAGTGAAACAAATTACCTAATTAGTTATAATATTGATGATAAATATATGRCAATGATTGTCACCAATGTACCACTGTCCACTACCACTGTCCACTGCTGTTTAATTTCTATCAGATAAACGTTCTCAAGAACTATTTTATGAATCTTTTTGATCACTTTATTCTATCCAGAAAACTGTTGTTTACACATAGTCGCAACTAGGGGTGGTGGTGCTTTGGGTTCTTTTCACCCCCTAAGTCAAAATTAACACCCCAAGAAATTGTAAAAAAAGTTAGGTCTTATTAAGTCACATAAAAAACCTGAAGCTTAAGCACTCGGCCCTTGTTCAAATATCTAGGTGCACCGATGAGTACACAGTCACAAAATAAATACATTATAATTTTATCTAATTACAATGAGTTCCATTATCAAAATATAACTGTGGAACTATAATACGATCTAGAGCCAGTTTATATTTATGGAACTTTTACATTTCAGTAAATATAGAAATATAGTTACAAGCTGGGCTCAAATAAGGAATCTACCTAGTGGCCAAAAAGCCGCCAAATTATTATTATAAAAAAGGAAAGTGAATTGGTATCAAAAAACAATTTTAATAATAAAAGTTAGGGTTATTATTAAATTACGGGTTTCTCTCTGGATTGTGGATTAAAAATTCTTTAATAATTATTATCTTCATAATTGATGGCGGAGATTAGAACACTTCCGGTGTTAACACGGCTGACTGATAAAAATATAATATTTAAAGTCGGAAATAAGCGAATGAAGTTATAAGTGGATTAAAGTAATGAAAATTAAAAATAATATTACCTGCCTCTTCAAAACCAGTCACCCAGGATAGCCCCCTGTTGCAACCATCCCTAAACATAGCCATGATATTATAGATTATATATTATAATTATTTGCCTACAATCTATCTATAATAATGAAATAACATTCAATATACCAGGCCGATAATGTTAGAATAGCTATATGTTTAATGTTTATGGATATTTATATGAGTATAGGCATTATAGCTTAAAGAAAATGTATCGAAAAGAAAAAAACTTGTTAATATTAAATTTAAAATAAATGTTATCGAGAAAAAAAAAGTAATAAAAATAATAACGTGATTGAAAAAATAAAACAAAGTAAAATATTGTGTTTATAAATGAACATAACATACGAGTTTTCTCGTTAAGGCCCAACATTTATTTTTTGAAATTAATTAAAAGGAAAAATTGGTTTTGTAATGAATTTTTTTTTCTCTGTAAAAAAATATTTTCAGTTTAAAATTAATAATTAATTAAAACTATTATTAGAACTGGTTTTAAATTTTTAATATAATTTAAAATTTAAATGAAAAATAAATACTATCAAATAATTTAACTGCTTAAAATATATAAAACATTTGTTGGTACATTCTTATATATATATATATATATTATTATTTAAAAATAAGCATAACTTAGTAATTATAGGAAAAATAGGTAAAAATTAGTTAAGTGTTTGAACAAAATTAAAATCCTTTTTAAATTGAATTTATAAGTATACCAAATTGATAAAAAATTACCCACGCATTTAAATAAATTGGGTTACATACTACGCGAAGAAAACATTAACGTAAGTACGTTTTTATTTGTTTTTAGATTTAGAATATATAGAAAAGTAACTTATCGTGATTATTTTACTAGTTTTATTAGAAAACATTTTTTTGGGTTCGAAAAGAATATCAAAAAAATGTTTCTATTGATTAGTAAATACGGAAATAACTGTACTGAGAAAAACGAAACATAGGATAGGAATTACGGTAAATCTGTTTTAAGAGAATTGGAAGTGGGGATTATCTGTCTTATTCGAATACACGCGTGACATAGGCATTTTGACGTATTATATTTCCAACGTAGGAGTACTGATTGATCTAGTGAAGCAATTATAATTCTGGAAAAATATTTAAAGTTGTCGTTAAGTCTACTTGAGATCAACTTTACATTTTTTGATTTTAAATCATTAAACAGGTATATTAAAAGATTAAAAATAAGACAATTATTGTGTTTAAATTCGAGAAGTTTAAATTAAAAAATCTAAAAATTCAATATCGTAACAAAACGTCAAAATGTATTCGTTTTAATACAACTATAGTTCACCAAGATTAAGCATACAATTAATTGTAACAGCCGATAAAAAGAGTATCTAATTTAATAGTCAATTATTATAGTATGAACTAATTAAATTAAGGTAACTATGTTAGAAGTCATAGTGAGTTACTAACATACAAAACTTAAAATAATTTAACAATTAATTAGTTTGTATACAGTTCTGTCAATTTATCTGAAATAAATTTAAAGCAATAAAATAAATAACAATTAATAACTTAGTTGATTACCCAGGGGCGGCACTAGACATTTATTTCTGGGGGGGCAGGATCCGGGCAAAAAATTTTTCGGTGGGGCAAAAATATATTTGTAATTTGTATATTATTGCTCTATATTTGGATTTTCCATAATACTTTTATTAATGGGATCGATATTTTGGTATATCTCCATCTGTTATCAAGATACCGTTTTCGTTTAAACCACGGCCATACCAGTCATACTATGACCACAGATAACATGAAAATGTTATCTGTGCCATGACCGTGGTTTAAACAGTGAAATAACAATACTACCACGAATAGCAACTTCTCCGAAATTATATTACTCGATGTGGTGTTTAATTGCTAATCGGGGAAGAGAAATTTCACACAATATTGTGATGGGTAATATAAATATATTATAAATTTTCATTTGGTCTCAAACAGGTAGGGCAAAGGTGG